AGAATTCCCCAGCCAGCGAATGCTGGCTGGGGAATTCTGGGAGTTGAAGTCCAGACATCTTCAAGTTGCCAAGGTTGAAAAACACTGCTCTACTGAACATAAGTGCTTATTTAATTCTCTCTAAAGAAATGAGGCTTTAAAAGTGTTTATATTTGCTAGGGTTATGCTCTGTGTTTTTTAAACCTAGTTTATCGTTGGTTTATTCTTTGTTTAAAGAATTTGATGGATGGGACTCAATTATTCAATTTAGGTTGGCAAATCTATATACCTTGAGTTGCCTTTGGATGAGATCCCAGAGGTGATTTTTTTTTCAAGAAGCAACTGGACTTTCTGGTTTTTCTTTGAAGACGTTTTGCTCTGATTGGATGGTGGGAAATGGAAGGATTTATACACCTTGCAGACAGCTGGTCATCCTGTAATCTGCATTTTTTCTGGAAATCCGTTGATACTCCTGCACCATTCAAAGGGCCTTCAAAGAAAAACCAGAAAGTCCAGTTGCCTCTTGACAAAGCATCTTTGGAACAACCATGACCTGGATGACTTTGGGATGAACATCCTTCGAATTGTGCGGGAATATGAACGGATTTCCAGAAAAATTGCAGACTTTGGGACAATCATGACTTGAGAATCTCCAAAGACATTTTGGACGAGATATGTCTACACGTATAAAATGATATCAAGTAGTTCAGAACTTGCATTCCAGTTCATATTTCTCTAGATGGCACTGTGTATCTATATTAGTAATAGAACCTCGTCAATAAAGTAAGTTTATTTTTGTTTTTAGTGTTTTAAGTTTAATAATGGTCCGGCACGGTGTCTAGGGCTTCCGTAGGATCTCGTGACACATCAACATTCTGCAAGAAGACAAAGGGAAGAAAGACTTTAAAAGCACCACTATGACCTAAAAAGGAAATACAGTGAAGAATTGAAGTCTATCTACATCCATTTATATTAGTAACATCAACTATCCGGAGTGTTAGAATTATAGCCAGTGTATTTTGGCTCCGTTTCTCACCTCTGCCCGTGGGCAGAGAAGAGTAGTTCTACCACTTCTTTCAGTATAGACCCATGGCAGAAAATTGGACTAGTTCTTGTCATCTACATATGATTTTCTTGGGGAATAATTTGGCACCGTGAAATCGTGTCTTTGGGCTTCAAAAAGGAATTTCTCAAGGGCAGGTTAGGAAAAGCATTGAGATAGCATGGCAAAGCACAGTGATTAAAGTGCGATGTGGCAGAATTAGGTTAGGGAGTCAGGCGAAGAGAGGATTCTTTTACCTGAGGGTCAAACAGGCAAGAGGGAGGAGAGCGCCCCAGATCTTTCCAGCAGGGTTGTTTGGTGGGCTCAGGGCTAGCCATTGGCACAGCGCGGTAGTGCCGATACAAGGGGGCCTGGCTAGCTTTGTAGGAAAAGTGCTAAGGGTGTTTTGGGGGCGGGGAGTGAAGATAAGAGGAAAATATTACACACACACACACACACAGAGAGATGCAACTCTGAATACAATGATCTTTAACAGGAGCACCTGTCAAGTCAATAACCAGGAACACACGATGGGGGAAAAGCTTCAGATCACACAAGCCCTTTGCCAATCACAGCTTCCTTCACAACCCTCTTTCTAGAGGTTTTCACGTAAAATCTCCCATGTGACAGGAGTCGTCCTTACCGTGGGGCGTTCCCGGTGTGTATTCACAGCCTCGATGTTGAGAAAAATGGATTCCACCTCGCAGCCTGTCCCCCCCCCCAAAAAATGAACCCACAATTACTGACGGTAGGTGGGGGTTCCAAACACTCATTCACTGCCAGTGGCGTTATCGGCTTCAGGATGACATGCTAGGCCTGCACAAATGTCCTTCCCTGAAAATCACAATTTGCCTTGGTTGGCATGAATAACTGATTTGGAACCGCCTGTTTTTTTCTTTTTTTCCTTTTAATTGAGCAGAATTAAAAAGGCTGGAACTCCAGTATGGCATTTGTTGTCAATAGGCTACTGATTGTTCACAGAAGCGCAATGTTGTGCAGCATACAGAGATAAATATAGATGAGAGGGAGATGAGTAGCTTTGTTCAAGGACATGTTTAGAGCCGCCGCCCCCCCCCCCCCGTGCAGCCCATTTTTGGCCAGCAGATTGCTGCTGGAGGTTGGGGAGGCTGAAAATGGACCACGCGGGGGCCTCATGGAGCCTCCATGTGGCCCGTTTTTTGGCCGGCAGAGGGCTGCAGGAGGTCATAGAGGGCAAAAATGAGGTTCGTGGGGGCCGTGCCCCCCTGTGCTCCGTTTTGGCTGGTAAAGTGCTACAGGAGGCCATTCAGGCAGAAAAGGGGCAGAGGGGTCATACGGGGCCCCTGCATCCCGTTTTGGCCAGCAGGAGGCGTCCATCCTGGCTCCCCCCCCGCTGCCCCCCACATCCTCCCTGCCAGCCCACGGAGGAGAGTTACAATGCTGATCGAAGAAATCCAGTTTGGCACCCCTGCCTTAGCTGATCTTAGAGAAGCTAAGCAGGATTGGATTTGTCTAGTAGGACAGCCAAAATACTCGGACTGTAGCTTAGAACAGAGAATTCAACGAGATCAAGAAAGTAGCAATGACAAAGCATATCAGAGTCAATAAATTGGAAAAGATTGTGCAGGCCAGCAATTCTTGCTTTTTCTCCCTGCATGTTCCGCAGTATTCATACAATTAGGAAAAGGAATGTATCAGTGACTGTATATAGCCACGAAATGGGAGGAAGCTTATTAGCATTAGAGAACAATTTACTTCCAACCACCATTGGATCAGCTTACGTACAGTAGGTAGCAATATGAGTATATTATATTTTGTTTTGCAATCAATTCATCTTCAGTGCCTAATCATTAGCTCGCTCTGCATCCACCCCTGAAACAGACTTCTGTTTTTTTGCTGTCCCAATGGATCTTTGCCGAGGAGGAAGGGACTTACCGTATGCCACAGGCGTGAGCTTCAGAACGGTGTGCAATGGGCACTTGAGGTATGGCAATTCCTCTAAAAAAGAAGAACGGCAAATGAAACAAAAGTCATCTCCAGAACTACACAGAGAGTCTCAGAAGAGGAAGAACTGGCGCATAAGAACAATCCATCCAATTTGCAAATGCAACTTCCTCTTGCAATGTAAAAGAGAAGACTTAACTTTTTTTCTCCACTGGCAAGTGTTACGGGGAAGAGAAAATGCCATATATACAGGAAGGATCATACACACAGGGTTTTGCCACAATCTGCCTCCCAGGCTCTCAGCTGAGAAGACTAAATGGAGCCGAGGTGGCGCAGTGGTTAGGGTGCAGTACTGCAGCCACTTCAGCTGACTGCTAGTTCTGCAGTTCGGCGGTTCAAATCTCACCGGCTCAA